ATTTATATTCTGAATTCCTTAATAGTTGCAGTTCCTTATCTCTAAGTGAACTAGGTGAGTGAATATCTCTATCCTACTCATTTCAACTGCTTTTATAATGAAATTCACTTGTTATTGGATCTCTCACAACAATAAGCTTTGATCTTTTCCTCAGTTGATCAAGAAAAGAAAGAGATTTATAAACAAGTTATCACATGATAAAACGAGACACTAAACCACACATTATTTAACATAAAAACAACTTAATATTAACTTCACATTGCTAAACTATAAAATGTTTAGCTCATAATGAACTGAATGAAAACTACACGCATGGTTCTCAGAAGCAACATTCTTAAATAAACAGTGAAAAAGACATATAAACCTAATAAATACTTAAGGACTTCTTGAGATGGATAATCATCAAGAGATAACTCCAGTCGCACCAGAATTCAGCAGCTAGTACAACATTGGATGAAAAGAAGAAAAATCTTTCCATTATCCTCACACTATTATCTTCTGTATTTCTCTTAGAATTGCTTAACTCTCTTTTAATCCTCATAAAGGTCCTATTTATAGACTTGATCTAAGGTTTCTTAAGATGCATTGGATCATGGGCCCAATATGAGGAAATCACATCAAGCACATGTAATAATCAGCGCCATCACCTCATTTCTTCTGCTTAGCCAACAAGCAACCAGGTACAAAGGATCATTGGTAGGGAATAAGGTGTCTTGTGGCAGACTGCCACAACAGGGTGCAGGCGACGCTACGCAGGCTACGTATAGTATTATTGTACTATCTTTTGTCTTCTAGTGCCTCCAAGCCTTATCCAATTTGATTCAAATGAAATATCCTCTAAGCACAGTAAAGATTCCCTCCAATGCTTTCATCATACCAAATTTTCCATAGAAACCAATGGACTTCATCATTATTCTCCCTTAGCTAAGTCCATCTTCTTACTTCAAGTTACACTACCAGTTATAGACCATAACAATCTTGCCTCAGCTCAATAGAGCTAACCTTAATTTTAGCACAAAACACATTAAAACACAAAAGGGAGCACCTATTATGCTCCAAGCAAATTACTATGAAAACACCTGAAATGCAGTAAAATAACAACTAAAAGCAATCCATCTACTATTAAAGAAAAAGATTTAAGGCATGTATTAACTCACAAAATGTGGGTTAGAACACTCCCAAACTTGAATCATTACATGTCCTCAGGTGATGCAACAAGAAATGACAGAGAAACTCCTTCCAATTAACCACCCTTTTAAACAATATAAACTTAACAATAACTCAGAAATCATCTCAAGGACTTGTTTCAAAAATTGTCACAACTTAGCCTTGAACTTAATTATAATTGTGTGTGTGCTCTTTATATCACTGATGTACCCTGCCACGCCAGAAATCTTCAGTAAAGTTAGCCAGCCTAGATTTAACTTTGATTATTTTATCCTATGGTCCAATAACTCAGTTTTCAGTTTCAGCAGGGGGTCTTGACTATCTATTTTCAGACCTTTGTACCTAGGAACACACATGCATTTATTAAAAAGAAATTTTTTGTAGATGCCCTACCTTTTCACCTGACAAGATCTAATTTGTAATTAGTCTAACCTGTTTCTAATGGTGAGAACAACTATTATTCCTCCAGTTTCAGGCACAAGAACTTATTAAAAAAAATTCTCCACCAGTCTCGGGCACAAGAGCATGTTTCTCCAATTTCGGGCACAAGAACTTATCATGAAGTTCTCTTTGGCTTACTTCATTTACACACTTTGGTGTGTTTATTAGCATATGAAATGTGTCTAGAGTACTCAAGTATTAAACAACAGTATTACCCTTCCTATCTAAACCCTACAGTGAGTTCCTATTCCATATTAAAAAATAATTCAACTTTAACAACAGGCTACCTACTTTTATAACTACTTGAGTTATGACAAGGGTTATCAGAAACACAAGAAGGTGCAATTGATCAACGTCAAGGCCTTGTTTCCAATATTGTCATAGTCCCAACAAATTTTTCCTAAGTTTTCTAAAGTTGTCTGTCTTTATGGGGGGTTATAGTCAGTATGTTCCTCTATTTTATTATGTTTTTGTTTTTTTAGTAATTAAATGAAATAAACTAACAAACTATTAAACCAAAAGCTGGAATGAGTTTCATTAATTATAAAGCAAAAGGCTGCAAGCAGTCAACAATAACAAAGCACAAAAGACTAGCAATGACTTAATCAAACTTAACCAAAAGAAAACAAAGATGATATGATATGATTTGTTGGGTTGATGGTCAGGGTCACGACGTTATCCACCACTCCCCCAAACTTAAAGTAAGGATAATGTCCTCGCTGTCAACTGACAAAATGGGGCGCGCTAATGGTTGCCTCTATTCTTACTAGATAGGATTTCAGCCTGCTTTTCTTTCTCACATGGTCCCCTTTCTTCTTATTTCTAGCCTCCTTCTGGATAGACTCTGGAAGGGTTGACTTCTTAACAGTTTATGGTGCCTCAAAGACAACTTCCATCGGGACAGTTGTCTGCACTTGTGGTGACTTATCTTCTCAGGAGTGACTATCGGGATCACATTTTCACTCGTCTCTTCATCAAACTCATTAGATGACTCCAATTTGTGTAAGCTTCCGGATGGGTCTTCCTCTTCTTATACATTCTCCTCCTCAACTTCTTCTTCACACTCAAAAATTTACTTATCAGCCTCCTTGCCATCCATGTTTACTTTATCCTATTTCTCAATGTTATCTTTTTCAGTATTATCTTCCTCCTCATAGTCGTCCTCTATCATGCCTGCATTCTCCTACATATCTTCATCATTGTCAACCTCGATCTCATCATCTTTCTCTTTTTCCTTTTCTTCATCATCAACTTCTTCGTTAATTTGTCCCACCACTTTCTCAACAACCTTGCTTTTGATTTTAACCCTTAAATTGATGCTCTTTGTATTTTGTTGATTAACTATATAGGTCATCTTAAAAGAAATGAAGATTAATTTCCCATGACTGGTGTCCATGGTGCTAGTAAAGGAAAACCATATTTTCCATATTGTTGTTACACTCCTAATCAAACCAACCTCTTTTAACTTACTTGTTTGCATTGGTGAAGATTAGGGTGGTAATGTAGATGATAAAACATCAACCTTATCATACTTAAATTTTTGTGTGGAAAACCTATCTAATGGACATACAAGAAACAAAGATTAATAGCTCGATCATCCATTAAGGTATTATATATAAACAATAAAATTAAAAAACAAATCGTATTTGACTTCTTAAACTAATTAAAGAATTGTAGTATAAATTCGTAATATTATAAGAGCAATTTATTTATGTTGAAATATTGTCTTTCATACTAAAATGAAGTATATCTCTAAAGACTATTATTTTATTCAAAAACAAATCCAACTTGATACTTTAAGTACCTCTCATATATCCATGAAGTGTGAATTGAATTACATTCCCACAAAACCCTAGTAACACAGAAATTGAAATATCTTACATTCAATTTGAATTTATTGATGGAAACATGCTCTTAAGGGGGCATATAAAAGCATCATCCAACACGTACAGCTGCATAAGAACGCTACACAGTCACACGACTCGGCTAAATGATACCCCTCATTATTTAGGTTAAATCATAGCATCAATTGATACAAAATAAATGTCAATAATTGATAATAATTTTATGCTCAATTCTATTAATTACTTTCGTTAGATCTATGTTCTCAAATGTGTAATGCATTTATTATAAATGAAAATCAACAAAGTTTTTTGTTCAATCCTTTGTTTGTCTAAAGCACACCATGAACTAAATGAGTAGAACCACTAGTTAAATATCTTGTCAATTGCTAACAATTAACCATATAACAAAGTCAAAGTACTCATTGTATAGAAAATGATTATCGAAGTTTTCATACTCAGTTCAAGACCTAATAATATAAGTGCAATCGAAATAATATGTTACCTTTGTCGCCACATTATCTCTAGCATCATTCCTCTGTGATAATTCCATCAAAGAAATTGATACCATAACTACCATCTCCCTCCCAAAGTGACCTTGATACTAGTGTAGCAACCCGTGCTCTGTACAGACAAAAAATATCTTTATAGGTAACGGGCCCTTGTAATCTCAATTTTAGTAGAAAAGTAAATAAAATCATAAAAAATATTGTTTTAACTAGGATTTTTATTGAGATTCTTTCAATTTTTATATTTAACCAAAGCTATTTAACCATCACTTAAGGGGGAACCGACCTTTGGCAGAAAACGGTTCTAGAGACATCCAATAAACTTTGAGGGAAGACCTCGTGAGTTCATACAAATTCCAAAGCTCCATAATAAAGATCATGTATATATACCTCAAACAATTAAAAAAAATTCATTACAAATATACACCCATCTATTTCTCCATTGCAAATATATTTTGCACACATGATGTGGCAAAAACGGGGGAGTTACCCCTAGTAGGGAAACAACCTTCTCATTCTTGAGCATTTGATATGAGCGAATCTACTCCCTTGAAACACGCAAAAAATGGTGAAAATGCTCCACTTAGTGAAATACATTCTTGAAAGACTATGAAACGTCCCCAAGGTTGGCGATCATACAGTCAGTTAAAAGTTGAGGTAAAGAAGCATTATCATGGTGCAAAGCTTATAACTCTCTTTGAGCCGCCGAAAGAGACGTCTTAGTAGATTTCAGGGTAGCCTGAAAAGAAGTTATAGACTTGTCCTTTCTTGCTAAACCCTTAACCAAAAGATTCACTTGATAGATAAGAGAGCTAGGGAGATTAAGGGGGCGCAAAGAATCACAAATCCTAGTGAGAGAAGTGGAAGTTGTTTGCATTTTTTACAGGTATGTATCTCGTTGGAGCGTCAAGATACAAATATTTTTCTTCAGTCGAATTTTTTCTTCATGTTGCTAGTTAAACAAAAGATCATCCCAAAGACCAGTTTCACCAAGGGCCACAGCAGTAGAGGTGCACCGAGTATATTGCGCCATAGTCTTCAGTTATTCCTCTAGGGCACACCAAGAAAGATTGGCTAAATATAAAGAGTTATCCTCTGAAGGAGGAACCAGACATTCCCCATAAGAGTGTGGGTTCGACCCTGTCAATGGCGTAAGAGTCAGAGGACCCAATGCACATGAGGTCCACTTGAGGAGCGTTTGAAGCCGTAGTACCTCGGAGGGCTCCAAAGTAGTGGAAGGGCCCACAATAGTTCTTTCGGGCCAAATTCTCCATCGTAAAAGTCGGAGCGCTTCCTCGTCCTTCATTGAATCTCAATGCAATCAGTACCAAAATTATATGTCATAAGTAAGCAAGTTAAAGGAAACTAATCTAAGATCTTTCAAGACTTACCGAAAATAATCTTTCTTTATTCCCTTGTATGAGCTTAGGGGGGAATTGTTATGGGCTGACGATAAAGGTCATCGGTCGACCATTCAGAAATAGATTTAGATCATCTAGAACATTCTCAGCATATGAGAGCTACCGTGCGAATGAATATAGATGATCTAAGTCTTAAATGCATCCAATGGATCCTTGCATTCACGCCTAACATATAATAGGTTGTTATGGCCTCTACAATTTATATATTTGAGAAAGAGCGCTTATTTCAAGTACGCAATTTCAAATCCAATTTCTACTCACTCATCTCTTTCACATACATACTTGAGTGTTGGAATGTTAACCTTTAGGTCAGTCTCCTTCCACCGCACTAAGACTAGGGGTGGAAAATGAGCATGTTCGCCCGTTTAGGCCCGTTCCGCAAAAGCCCACAAAAAATAGGACAGGACGAACATGGTTAAGGGCGCGGGCCTAAAATCTTGGTCTGCTCTGCATTAAAAGTGAGGACAGGGAGGGCCCGCGAGCTTTGCACATTTAAAACCTAAAAATACAAAAATTTATGTCAATACCCTTGCTCACAGAAGCCCGAAAAAAACGGGGCAGAATGGGGAGAGCACATTTGAGTGTGCAAGGTTAAATCATTGACCCGCCCCGCACTAAAGTGCTCGGTCCGTTTTATCACCCCTACTAAAAACTCGAATTCATCATAATCCTCCATAATCGTCAATTCTTATAACCATTATTAAACTCATTAACATACTCGTGAAATTCAGAGTTCAAACTTTAGTGTTAATATTCAACTAAATAATATCAATTTTTGTCAATTAAATTAAAATTTACAGACTTTTAATATATATTTTTAATTGGTTAAAACATTGACTATTTTTTATTTAAATTTATAAATATCTATATGCTCAAATAGTACCTACAATTATCTATAATTCTGAAATTGATAAATAAAAAAAGGGTACATACTCTATTTTATTTGGTGTGTCATTATTATAATAATTTATTTGTGTTAATATTTTATTTCAATACGTATTAATTGTTTTATCTATTCAAATCACCTTTATTTTAACTTTTCGTCTCAATATTTTTTATTTAGTGAGTTGTAGTTTTTTAGTCTAATTTATTCTCAAATTTTCCATTCTTACGTACAAACTAATTTATAAATTGTCAATGCATGTGTCTCTGTGACACGAATATTAAAATATTAGAGACTTTTTCTCTTTAGAATTAAAGTGTGAAAAAAAAAACTAATTTGTAAATTATATTTGAAATAAAAAAATAAAATAATTTAGAAATATGATACTACAATTGTAGAATATAATAAAAGTGAATATTCATAAATAGTTAAACTTTTAAAATTTCAAACTATTAAATTAACTAATATTTATAAATAAGGAAAATAAAAATAAAAGAAAACATATTTAAAAAAGGTTAATGGACATATTTTATTCAAAATTAAAAAACATATTTTACAAAAATAATACTACATACAACCGTCAAATATAATAAAAATTTACGATAAAAACATCAAATTTTAACTTTTTTGTATTATTTAATTAAATAATATTTTGAAAATAGTAATTAACAGAGAAAATAATACTTTAAATATTTATATGAAATATATACACCTAATAATGGTCAAATTCTATTCTAATTTCAAATAAAAATATTCAACAAATTTTCTACAACTTTCTAAATATAAGAAATATTTAATAAAAAAAATTGTTCCATGAAAAAATTTAAATTCAATTCATTTGCATTTTTTTATTAACTAAAGAGATACTAATAATCATTTTACAACTCAGAATATTTGAATGAAATTATAATATATCTTCATCAACTTAACTAAAAGTTTTGTGTTTGAACTTATCTCTGAGCAAGTAAGTGTTAAGTTTTTTTTTTAAAAGATAGTTGTTATCTATTAGGTTCTCCGCGACTCCTGAGATTAGTCCCTATAAAAAAATTACTATTTTATAATTTTTTACAAAATTTTCTCGTATTAATTCGATGTGCTTATATTTTTATAATAATTAATTTTTATTAAATATTATTTTGATATTTGATAAAAGTAGTAGAATATTTGTAGAATAATTTTCTTTAAATTTAGAATAGATTTTGATCATTATTATGTGTATATTACATATAAATATTTTTATATTATTTTTCCTTTAATTATTATTTTCTAAATATAATATATTTAAATAATTCAAATAAATTAAAATCAGATATATTTTTATCATAAATTATTCTTATATTTTACAATGGTATGTATCAATGTATTTTTAAAAATATTTTTTTCTTCGAAAATTAAAATAAATAATGTCCATTAACTTTGTATAAATTTTCTTACACTTTTATTTTCCCTTATTTGTGAATAATAATAAATTCAAAAGTTTAAAATTTTAAATTTTTTAATGTTTATCAATAGTTATTTTACTTATTTTAGAGCCGATCAATAGTTATTTTTATTATATTCGATCATATTTGTAAAATTATTGTTTCTTAATTTCAAATATAACTTGAAAATTAGTTTGAACAAGTGAGAATGAAAAAAGTGTGAGGGTAAATTAGAGAAATAAAGAAAAGGTTTAATTAATCTTTTGGTTCATGCAAATAAACAAGTTTTTTGTTGAGTCTTTAAATCATTTTTTGAATTAATACTTGGATGTTAAATTTTTTTTAGTTTTAATTCTTAAAGTAAAAATTCGTAAGAAAACTTATAGATTTTTTTACAGATTTTCCAGTAAATTTTTTCGAATTAAAATTTTAGAGATTAAAACTAAATTACTTTAACATTCAGGAATTAATTTAAAAAAACATTTTGGGACAAAAAAAAAGACTATTTAGGATTAAAAGAAAGTAACCGTGAATTTATAATTATATAAAAAAATTAATATAAATTCAAATAAAATAAAATTATAATATGATACACCATATAAAAAAAAGATCAAGTAGTCATTTTTTGACTAATATAATTTTTTGACCGTATAAAATATAATTTAAAAAAACGAATTTTTTAAAAAAAGATAATAAATCAGTGTTTATAATTCTTCAGATATATAAAATATTTGAATGAATAATATATATTTTTTATATAAATATTATTTTTGTTTTGAAATTGTTCGTAAAAAATATTTAAACTAATAGTAAAATTATTCTATTAATATTCAATATTTTTATCAGTAATTTTATGTTCCCGTTAATATTTAATAATTCGATCAGTAACTTCATGTTCTCGTTAATATTCAATATTTTGATTAATAAGATGATATTTATGTTAATATTCAATATTTTGATCAGTAACTTCGTATTTCCGTTAATATTTAATATTTTGATCAGTAACTTCATGTTCCCGTTAATATTTAATATTTTGATTAGTAAATTCATGTTCCCGTTAAAATTTAAAATTTTGATAAGTAAATTCATGTTTATGTTAAAATTAAATTACTAAAATGATGTTTGAATCTTTATGTTTAAAAAAACATATTTGTCATTTTCAAATATAGCTTGTTGACAATCGATAACCGATAGTATTAATATAATTAAACAATCCTAAATTTAAAAAAAATACATATTTAAGTTTGGACAATCGATAATCAATAATCGATAACCCTCTTGTATGTTTAAGTTTGGACTAACATCCAAGAGGGTTATATAACAATTTATTGACAACTCTCCTAAGTGACATGTGTTCTTAGAGGAAGGTTGTAAAGCCTCCAAATCTTAGAGGATTTGATATAAAACGTAAAAAAAACATATATATATATATATATATATATATATATATATATATATATATATATATATATATATATATATATATATATATATATATATATATATATATATATATATATATATAACCTAAAAACTTGTCTTGTGATAACTAGGGATGACAATGGGCCGGTGCGGGTTTCACATTATTTAAACCTGCACCCGAAATCACCACCCGAACTCGAATCCAAATTCAAAAGTTATTCGGGTGGCAAAATAACACTCACGCTCACACTCATTGGGTTTGGGTTTTTCCACCTAAACTCGAACCCATAGCAAAAACACAAAAAATACAACAACAACATTGAAATTTGAAACACAAGAATTCTATCAAGGTCTCTCAAAGAGTTGAAGAATTAAATTACAAATTTCCATCAAATTTGGTAATATTACAATTAAAATTAAGGTCTTAAATTTTTACACTTATATATATTTAGAGGTACTTATGTAATTTAATGTCTAAGCGGGTGTGATTGCGGATTTGAGTGAATCCAAACCCGCACCTGAATTATCGGATGACATCCAAACCCGAACCTGAACCCAGTCAACTCGGGTTTTCATCCATTGACTCAGATTCGAATGCGGATGAGCCCCACAGGTTTGGGTCTGCCTGCCATCCCTAGTAATAACCCATGAAGAAAAAGTCCTTATCTGGATCATCATTATACATGAAGTAAACAAAACTTTATATTTGCATGAATAAACTTATTTTACTTGAGTGATGTAGGATACCTACTCGTTAAATGTGAGCACAAGACACAGGGACACGAAACAATACAGAGCCTCTGAAAACGATAATGTCAAAAATATAGAATATTGTTATTCTTATGGTAGTATTTGAAATTTATTTATCCATATGTTATTATTAGAAGAATTAAAAATATCTTAATCAAAATATTCATTGAAGCAAAGAAAAAAACATTAAAAAAAGACTTGTTTGAGTTGTTGCCAACATGTGTTGTATGAGTATTATATGAGGATCAAAAACTAACTAAAAGAGTGTCGAAGTCAAGAGAAAACTATTTTATTGGAGATATTTGTCAAAATTTGTTGACACTAGTAGTACAGGTCATACAGGTCTTAAACACGCATACGCCTAAGGTGTTTGTGCTTCATTGTTGTACATCATTCAAATTCAAAGATA